TCTCACATTTTATTGCTGTGTGAATATTAAAAACTAATGTTAGCGACAGTTTTTCTTTACATTTTGTAAAGCGATATTGTATTCACTAAAATAATATATAGTTAGGGGTTTTTTAAAAATTAGCTTTAGCCACAATTATAAAATAAGGTTACTTGGAAAATACTCTCCCTTTTCCTATGAACATTTGCTGCTGAGTATGAATATTCAGCTATTTATGGCTGATGTGTCACAAATGTAATAATTTTTTTGAAAAGATGCAAAATGCCATCTGTCATCTCAGTCATGATTTCAAAGACAGAATTTTTAAAAAGGGGAATAAAGGAGAGGAAGTGAAGAATCTTTAATAACTGTAAATTCTGGTTAAACCCTATAAAAGTTAACATTCCAGATCAGCACCCTTCTCTGTCTTCTAAAACCATCTATCTGTGTAATGGCTTTTAACATATTTTAGGCTAACTGTTCTCCTAATATAGCTCCAAAGGTCTATTTTTGCTGTTTCCTCTTTTTTTTTTTCATTCCTTTACAGAATCTTGTATTACCTTTCTTTTCCAAAGAAAAATGAAAATAACTTCTTTAACTCCTAAGATCTTCTCTGCACCTGACATTTTCCTCTGCTGAAATGTATTCTTACCAAGTATCTGTTTGAGGTAGTCATTGTTTTCAAACCTTGGCAATTCAAGGAAGGGAAATCTATCTTAGAATTACAATAATATACATATGGTACAAGAATTTTCACTTGGCAGTGGATTTTGATTTCATATGCCTGTCTGTTCTTCAGTTACAGAGATTGATTTTATTCCTCTACTCTTCTCATTTTTTTATTAGAATATAAAAATTCCACAGCAAAACCATTGCAGTTCTTGAAAACTCCACAGAAGAAGGTATGAAATGCTCTGTGGAATTGCTCAGAGAAATTGATATAATCTTGTGGCCACAGCATGAGTTAAAAAAAAGATATCACAGACCAGAAGAAACTACACTAGAATAATCTGGACTTCTGATCAGTTTGAGGCTGCATTTGTGACCCCAGAAATAAAAAAATCCAGGACCTTCCCTTGGAAACCAGTTCACAAGAATCTTCCTACTCATGTTAAACTCAATTTCTTCTATTGCATTAAAACTCATTGTTCATTTGTCAAAACAAAATTTTTTTATTTACAAAAGGAATCTATTTTTACTAACCAAAATCACATAATGCAGAAAAACTCAAAGAATAAAAAAATCATCATCAATTTAATCACCCAATGATACTGAAAACACTCTATGTACATTAAGTATGTTTAAGATAATGGATTACATTATCTATAATATAAATTCTTTTTTGTAACCTGCATGTGTATATTGCCAAATTTTTTCTATCTCATAAAATATCTTTAGCTATATAATTTTAATGACTCTCCCATAATTTATTTAAGCCAAATTAATTTATCTTTACTATTTCAACCACTCAGGTCTTGTTTCCCCATTGTAAATACTTAAAGTCCTACTTAATAAACATTTAAACCTTATCTTTTTTTTTAAAGATTTTATTTATTTATTTGACAGAGAGAGATAGAGAGCGAACACAAGCAGGGGGAGCAGTAGAGGGAGGGGGAGAAGCAGGCTTCCCGCTGAGCAAGGAGCCTGATGTGGGGCTCGATTCCAGGACCCTGGGATCATGACCTGAGCCGAAGGCAGATGCTTAACCATCTGAGCCATCCAGGCGCCCCTTAAACCTTATCTTATTGTTTCCTTAATAAACATTCCCAGAAGTAAATATATTACCTAGGTACTATGAAGGAATTTTTGAATTAATGGAAAAAAATCCCCACGATGGTA